GCAGTGGAGAGGGGCAAGAGGGTCAGCAAGCATCAGGAGCCCTGGGGAAAATGTCTCCACGTAGAAACCAGAGGAGTGAGGATTGGGTTTCCCCTCTAACCAAACCTTTATTGTTTTGATGTAACATGACAACATGCAATTTTTTTTGCATTTTTCTTTTTCTTTTTCTTTTTTTTTTTTTTTTTTTTTTTTTTTTTTTTTTTTTTTTTTGAGACAGAGTTTTGCCCTTGTTGCCCAGACTGGAGTACAGTGGTGTGATCTCAGCTCACTGCAACCTCCGCCTCCCAGGTTCTGGAGATTCTCCTGCCTCAGCCTCCCAAGTAACTGGGATTACAGGTGCCTGCCACCACACCCAACTAACTTGTGTATTTTTAGTAGAGACGGGTTTCACCATATTGGCCAGGCTGGTCTTGAACTCCTGACCTCAGGTGATCCACCCACCTTAGCCTCCCAAAGTGCTGGGATTACAGGTGTAAGCCACCACTCACAGCCTTTCATATTTTTTTAAATAAATGTAAGCATCTTGCAGGGGGAAAAAAAGTAAACGATCATTAAGTTCTGTGTCATGCTGGATTCACTTCAGAGCTTTGCCAGCCTGCATGCATATTTGATTTGAATGTCATTGCAGTCTGCATGTACATACTGTCCTCCGTTCTGGCTTTTGTACTTGAAATTATTTCAAACACATTTCATGCCTCCACATCACTCGTGTTGTCATTTCAGTTGCATTTCTCTAATTCCTAGCAAGGTTATGCATTTTACAAGTGTCACCTGGGACTTGATTTTTTTATTTACCAGAACAAATACTCTTCCTCCTTGGAAGAGTTTGTTTTTTATTAGTTCTGTGCAGCACATGTGTTCCCGTTGTGCTGCTTTTGTTATTCTATTTGGTGTACAGCATTTCCTTTTGCAAATTAAAAATCAGAAAGTTTTATGAGGAAGTCAGAACTATCCATCTGGTTTCCCTCCTGAATGACCTGAATAAATAAATATTTGTTTCTACTATTCTATTTTTCCTACTTTTTAATTCTAATTTTAAAGTTTTGTTTTTAAATTTTGGATCTGCATGAAATGTATTGCCATATTCATTCAATATATAGATATAAAGCAAATATTAGTCAATGGTTATTTATTAAATGAGGATTTCTTATCCCACTAGAGATGTATTTTAAACATGGTCTTTTGTTTGTTTTTGTTTTTGTTTTTGAGATGGAGTGTCACTCTGTCGCCCAGGCTGGAGTCCAGTGGCACCATCTCGGCTCACTGCAACCCCCACCTCCCAGGCTCAAGCAGTTCTTCTGCCTCAGCCTTTTGAGTAGCTAGGACTACAGGCACGCGCCACCATACCTGGCTAATTTTTGTATTTTTAGTAGAGACAGGGTTTCACCATATTGGTCAGGTTCGTCTCAAACTCCTGACCTCAGGCAATCCATCTGCCTCGGCCTCCAAAAACCGTAATTCATATCATAGAAAATCTGATTCAGTAGTGAGATTACATTTATTAATGTACTTTGTGTTTCAGAATTAGAGTTGACACTTCTAAAAATCTTAAACTCCAGAGGGTCCTGAACCTTGAGCCTTTTCAGAACAAAATGTTCTTCCTTCATACAATACTTTATCAGGTATGGTGGCTCATGCCTGTGATTTCAGCACTTTGGGAGGCCAAGGCAGGAGGATCACGTGAGCAGATGAGTTCAAGACCAGCCTTAGCAACATAGCAAGACTCCATCTCTACAAAGAAAATAGCCAGACATGGTAGTGTGCACCTGTAGTCCCAACCACTTGGGAAGCTGAAGTAGGAGGATCACTTGAACCTAGGAGGTCAAGTCTGCACTCCAGCCTGGGTGACAGAGCGAGACCCTGAGAGCGAGACCCTTTCCGTGTGTGTGCGTGTGTGTGTGTGCGTGTGTGTGTGTGCGTGTGTGTGCACGCACGTGCATGCGCATGCATGGGTATAGAAAGGGGGGATCACTTGTAGTAATAAAAATGGTCTTCATGGTCATATTCAATGATTATTTAATGAGGATTTCTTATCCCACTAGAGATACATTTTAAACATGGTGTTTTGTTTTTGTGTTTGTGTTTGTTTTTGTTTGTTTTGTTTTTGAGACAGAGTGTCGTTCTGTTGCCCAGGCATGATCTTGGCTCACTGCAACCTCCACCTCCCAGGTTCAAGCAATTCTTCTGCCTCAGCCTTTTGAGCAGCTGAGACACTTGTAGTAATTACACTTGTAGTAATGGCTGTATGCAGCCCATTACATTAATGTTTTGCATGTGTGCATGTGTGTGTGTTTGAACACATAATAAATTTAAAATATTATTTAAAAGTGGCAGTATTATTCTATGCTTATATGAATCCAAGTCGAATAGTTTTTACTTTTGTTGCTACCCATCTTGGTCATAAATGATATTAATAATGAATTCATACTTATCAGATGGTTTTCATTTCTTTCCACTAGATATGTATATACATATATAGATGGATGGATGGTTGCTAGATAGGTAGGTATAGACAGACAGACAGACAAAACATGGTTATCGATATTAATGTTGAAGAAATTGCCAAAAGCTAAGATATGTGTATGGTCTATCTTTCTTCTAATTGTGTAAATTGGAAAACCCTTTAATAAAACAATTTCACAAGATCCATATATGTGTGACTAGACTTTGGAATATTAAAACATGAAAATTTCATTACTGGGATTTATCCTAAAGGGGGAGAATTCTAATTGCAGAAAAATTGTATGCAGGATGATGGTCCTCTTTGCATTTTTTTCATAATAGCATAAAACTGTCCCTTTATGACCAACCAAATGAGAGATAGCCTAGTAAATATTGATATATAGTTATCCAGTATAATCATTAAGATGACAGTTATGCAAATTACAATGCTTATAATAGTATGGGGGAAGCAAGACACAAAATTTGGCACACAGTAGGATTACAATCTTGGAAAATATGTGCCAAAAGAGGAAATTGCTTCTGTTAGGTTAGGGTGGTGATATGATCAGTGTTTTATAGCTTTTTCTTCTGTTTTTACTTTTTCCAAGGCAATGTATATTTAGCAATTATAACAGTGGAATTCCCAAGATTATTTCCTCTTCAAAGTGGTTTTGGCCTTTGTGATTTAGCAATGTTACTTTTAATCTATAGAGAGCTCAATTTTTCAAGAGTTAATATGTCCCAAAAGGAGTGAGCAATATTGCTTCTCTGTTACCAGCAAAGCCCAGAATTCATGGAGAGAGTCTAGAGTAATCCAACTGCAGTTGCGTCTCTTTTTTCTAATGTTGCTTCTATGGTACTTTTAACTGTTAAAATGTATGGCAATCTTTCGATCGCATCCTTCCCCCAAAGAAGCAGAATTTGGCAAGAACCCTGAGACCTCCATCCCCTCTGGGTATCTCGTCTAGGAATTTTATTGTACTTGGAACATCAAGAATCAAAGTGGTTTCCTAGAGATGCATTAGACTGAATGGCAGCTGCATCATTATTCCACCAACTGGGAAACTGAAGCAGAGATACTTCCCACGGCATCCGTTTGAACATGCTAAATAAAGGCATGTTAAAGAGGACTGGGGAGCATCCATGTTGGGATGGTGATGTACTGACACTCAGCCCTTCCCAAAGACTCCCCATTCATCTGTGTGATTTCCATTGCATGGGCTTACAGTCTGCACTGCTTTTGCTTTCTTATTAATAAATAATCAATCATCATATTGTTGATTATCATAACTTTTACTACCATTTTGGGCATATAAAAAAGCTGAATTTTAAAAAAAAGCAACACACTTCAAATGCTGGTGCTTTTCACTGTCTGCTTCAGAGGAATTTTTTTTTTTTTTGCATGCATTATATTTTTTCTGTGCTTATAGAAGATTCAGGTCAAACACCATATGCCCTTGAATCATATGCTATTTCAGGCCTGTTGGTTTGTTGATTACTCTGTTGAACAGATATTCACTGGACCGACTCTAATAGGAGGTGGGTCATGGAGGGATTCTGTGCCACCATACATTACTGATATATAAAATTAAACTAGAGGTGGAACATAGCAAAAGGAAAGGATTATTTATCCAAGAATCACCTTGGAGTCACTTCCCTGTTTCTTTTCTGCAAGTCATCATCTTGCTTCTGGTTTTAAGTCAGGTAATTGCTCTGCTGGTTTCTGTGTTTCTGACTCGGCAGAACTTCGTCTTTCATCTGATGTTTATTCATCTCGCTGGAACAGCTTTCAGTCCTCTTTAAAAATTAATTTGACTTTAATGTCTAGTTATCTAAGACTCCCCTGAGCTAGGATGAAATCACACTGGGGGAATTTTGATTTGACAAATGGCCATTGTATGGGAGCCTTTGATCCTGCACCGTTGGCCTTGTTTTGCTGCGCTTTAAGCAACATCAAAGTCTACAGGACGCAATATGATTGGTGGTCGGCACTGGGAGAATTCTGGCACTTCCCAGCATCCCTGGGTGGCTGCAGCCTATTAGGTGCAGATGAGAGCCGTCCTAATCCTTTATCCAAGTAGAGAAATTGGCTGAGGGTGGAGGCAAACAGAAGATGGGATGAGTTTTTCCTAGGACCTTGTTGCCTGTTGAGTGACATGAAGCCCTTTGCTCCGTAAAGTAGGAATTCCTGATCCTGGTCTTCCAATCTCTGAGGCCTGCTGAGTGTTTTTTTCCAAGTTTTTAGAAATTATGAGACAAAAATAATTTTAATTTGATTTTTATTTTTAAAAATACATAGAAAATGTGATGGATTGGATTAGAAAGACAGAGAAAACAGGCAAAATGCTGACAATCATTGGAAACTGTTGCCCTGATGAGTAGACAATGTATCTCTAAAGATCAAATAAATGTCTTAAAAAGAACAGATGTTGGTTTTAGAGACTGACCTTGATAAAGGTTGTTCAGCAGCAGCTAGGCGCAGTTAGCAAGCAGTCAGTGCCTCTTTCTTGGAAGGCAGACATTGTCTAACTCTGCACTCTCCTTTTCTCTCTTGACAGATGGGGAACTGTCCATATCCAATGAAGAGGACTCCCTAGAAAATGGGCAGTCCCTGAGCTCCAGCCAGCTGTCTCTGCCTGCCCTGTCCGAGATGGAGCCAGTCCCAATGCCCAGGGATCCCTGCTCGTATGAGGTGCTCCAACCTTCAGACATCATGGATGGGCCAGGTAATGCCCCTGGCAGGATTTTAGGGCAAGTCTCAGACGGTGGCACCAGGGATCTTTGACCTGGCTGGACTTGGAGTTCTATTTTGGACTATCCTGAGGATAAGGAGCTGGACACTTAGATAAAACAGATTAGTTTTTAGTACATACTGAGTACTTTTAAAAGTGGAAAATATTGACACTGATGATTCTACAGTGTTTAAGAAACTCTCGATTACCTTAATCTCTTTAAAGAAGATATGGCTTATTGTTGTAACATTACTGATTTAAAATATCATTATTTTATTTTTCAACACTCATCTCTGTTAAGGTAAAGCTGAGGAATCCTAAATTTCTATATGACACCTAGCTAATTTGTCTGTTTAAAAGGCCCTTTAGTCTTAGCCCCAATATACCAGTTAATGGTTGTTTCAATTTATTTGATACAGTCAATTTAATTGTCAATTAAATTGTATACAGTTTACTGATTGAATTGTATCCTGCTGGTAGCTGATTTCTGATGCCATCTGACTGTCATCTCCTTCTTTGGTCCAAAAGTGGCTGAGTGGCCAATACTCATTCTCTCAGAAGGTTTGAAGAGTGGTCCTAATTTTCTCCAAAATGGGTCCCTCCTGACAGCTAGTGAGCAGTGGTACTTGTTGCCAGATGAGTCTGGGAGAAGGAACCTCTTGCGATATGCAGGATATAGGTAGAGAGGCCTTTCTCCCCATCATGTGCAAAATCCACATCTGCAGGTGGTCACGTAGGAGGTTTGGGGGGATGGGGTTTCACAGGGTTAATTCCCATACTTCGCTCCGGGACCTGGTGAGTCATTGCTCTGTTACTGTGTCCCACACTGCTCATAATAGCGTCCCTGAGACAGGAGAATGTAGTGCTCATGAGGATTCTCTGCAGGGCTTTGGTGCTGCACAGAACACTTGATCAGGGAGGAAGAAGGTGTGGGGCTTGGTGAGGAGAGGAGTCACTTAGAGGCTTTCTTACTGGAGCAGTGGCAGGAGGTTAGAGGAGACATGGTGAAGTTACACCCTCCCACCCCAGGGAGCATTTCCCAATGAAAGCAGTGCATTTTGTAAAAGAAGCCAGCCTTCCTTATGACATTGAAGTCAGCTAGATTTGATTGTTATAGTAAAACTCTGTCATTCCAGCAGAATCACAGATTTTCACTCTGTCATCAGCCAAGCAACTGGCATGGTAGGAAAGTGTGTGCCACAGCCCAATGACAGCGCTTCATGAAAGCCAGCCAGGGGGTTCCCCCATGAAGGAAAGGAAGAGGTGGGTCCAATACAGTGCAAAGAGAAATGGAGAAATTGACACAAGAAAACTATAGTTGTGGTGAGCAAGAAGAGAGAGGCGAGGGGAAGATTGAAAGGCTAACTTAAAGCACCCTTTGCCTCGTCAAGGTTTACAGGAGCTGGCAGGGGCAGGACGCTGTTGCTGAAATCACAGAGTTTGGGCTGGGAGGCCGCTGCTCAGCACCAGGCACTCCGGAACCTGGAGAAGCAGCTGTGCAGGGCCCCAGGATGCAGCCTGTGCAGTGTCAGCATTCCCACCTGTCATCTGTACCCGGTGTCACAGATCTGAGAGCAGAGACAGAGCGGACCCAGTGGACAAAACTGAGCCCCTCTGTTCTTTTGAATCCACTCCCTTTTGCCCCTCATCAGAGGGCAAGCAGGCCCCAGCGTGGGTGCTGGCATTTGGTTCCTGTTTGGTTTAGAGGAGCTCTGCACCCTGACCTGCACCGGCCACCCTGGTGATTCCTGCTGCGCCCCATCAGTCACATCTGAGAGCATGCGTAGGGTTTGTATGACCAGTGCTGAGTCTGAAATGGTCACGTTTTTGATGGTTTGGAGAAAACGCCCTCCTCCTCTTTCTCCCTGTTGCTCTTCCCGCCTCCACCCTCTCTATTCCTCTGCCTCCTCTCTCTGTCCCTCCTGCTTCGCTGGATTTCTGGTGTCCTCGCTGTAACTCTCCACACATGCGTGGTGGCCTGAAGCATCGGTGCTCCGCTGTGTTGCTAGCCCGAGTCCCTGTCCTGTGTTCCCTGCTGGCCTTGCCTGCACTGCGTTTGTGTAATGTCTCCTGTGTATCATGTGGTTGTCCCCTCAGTGTCTGAAGAGAGTCCCTCTGCCAGTGAGTCTGGAGTCCTCCTGTCCCAAGATCCTTCAGCCAAACCAGTCCTGCTCCTGCCCCCAAAAAAACCTGCTGCTTTCCCTGGAGACCATGAAGAGACCCCAGTGAAGCAGCTGCCCCTTCTCAAGCAGCCCCCGGCCCTGCCTCCCAAACCCACTACCAGGATTGCCAACCACTTAACAGGTGAGTGCAGACATCTTCTGGGGCAAGCAGTCCCTCCTTCCCTTCAAGGGATTTTCTTTTTCTCTTGTTCTTTTATCTGAGACCTGAATGCAGCTCTCTGGGGAGGTTGCCCTGTGGGCTGTTCGGGTGTTTCTGTGTGTGTCTTGATATCTGCAGTCATGACCAGGGTTTGTGTTTTCGTGTCAAGCCGCGTTTGATACCCACCTAGCAGCCATATGCCAAGAGTGCTCAGTCATGTGTATCTGTAAATATTTACATTATATTTAAGTGACTCATTCAAGATTGTTGGCTCACCTGGTGAAGGAGATTCAATGTCAGCATTTTTGCAAAGATAAAGAACAGTGCCTTCTTCATGAGTTTGTCAAGGCTTTAAATTTTTTGTCTTTAAGTTATTGATCTGAAGCCTGGTATATTTCTCCTATTAAAATTCATGCCAGTGCTGTCTGTTCTCTTAGGAAAAACAAAAAAGACAATCTGCAAATTCTGTGGTAAATACTTTTAAAAGAAGAGTAAACTTAGCAATGTTGTCCTAAAATGACTGCGCACCTACTCTGCAGCGTTCTTGAAGTTACTTAATGAATGTATCCGCAGGTATTCAATTTCACTCAGTGAAATTGTACTTCACTGCCCTTTGGCCCATGAAGTAGACACCACTTTGTGATTCAAGGCTGTGGTGTAATCAGAGCTTAAAAGATTTCAGAGAGTCGTTTCTCCAACTTTGATAACAGTTTCACCTGATGCTGATCAACGGCATTTTTAAAAAGTGTTCAGTATTTTGACAAATAATACTTAAGTCATCACTCTAACAGTTTGTAACATGTAATGGTGGTGGAATTTGGGGAAAATATTTGCCTATCTTATAGGAGAAACACTGAGTTTCAAGAAAAATAAGTGACTTCCAGGGCTGACAGGAATTCTGTAATAGAGGCACAATCGATGCTGTGTTTCTCAACTCCAAGTTCAGCTAATGTTTCCATAGCAGGCTGTCTTTCACATGTTACCAAGTTCTAGTGGAGTCCCTCTTAGGCATGAGCTCATGTCAAACTGCTCTATTAATGTATATGTCCATCCAAGTCAGATGTGTATGGTTTGAAAGAGCAAGTTCCCATCTAACAGAACCATTTAACACATTAATAACACTTGAGTTCGGTGTCCAAAAATCGAAATTCACAGAAAACCACCAAGGAGAAAAAGCCCCATAAGGCCTCTCCTAGGTGATCGCCATTGTCCATCTGTCTGTCTATTGAATAAAAATTGAATGTTGCTGTACATATTGTTTTACCACCTGCTTTTTGCATTTGGTGATATGTCGTAAACTGATTCTCATGTTAGTATTCCAAGACATGATTTTATTAGCTGCTTGACATGGATCAAGGTTTACTTAACTGACCCCTTAAGGTTTTTTTCCAGCTTTCTTTTTTCTTTTTTTTTTTTTTTTTTTTGAGATGGAGTTTCACTCTTGTTACCCAGGCTGGAGTGCAATGGCGTGATCTCGGCTCACCGCAACCTCCGCCTCCTGGGTTCAGGCAATTCTTCTGCCTCAGCCTCCTGAGTAGCTGGGATTACAGGCACGCACTGCCATGCCAGCTAATTTTTTGTATTTTTAGTAGAGACAGGGTTTCACCATGTTGACCAGGATGGTCTCGATCTCTTGACCTCATGATCCACCCACCTCAGCCTCCCAAAGTGCTGAGATTACAGGCTTGAGCCACTGCGCCTGGCACCAGCTTTCTTATTGTTAAATCACCACAGCAAACAACTGCAACAGCCTGCATATATATTCATAAGCATCTCTGAGTTTTCTCTAATTGATTTCTAAAATTAGAACTGTTGAGTCAAAGATTATGCACCCTAAAGGCTTTGATGTCAAATTTCCCTTAAGAAGGATTCAACATTATACAAAATAAACCCTTACATGTAATACATATTTATTCAACACATCTACAATAGGCAGAATACTGTACTAAGTATCAAAGTAGATAGGAATATGTAAGAGTTTCATGCAGCTGTCCCCAACCTTTTTGCCACCAAGGACCAGTTTTGTGGAAGACCATTTTTCCGTGGACTGGCGGTGGGGCAGGGGAGATGATTTGGGGATGATTCAAGTGCATTACATTTATTGTGCACTTGATTTCTATTATCATGACATTGTAATACATAATGAACTCATTATGCAACTCACCATAATGTAGAATCCGTGGGAGCCCTGAGCTTGTTTTCCTGTGACTGGACAGCCCCATTTAAGGGTGATGGGAGACAGTGACAGATCATCAGGCTGTAGATTTTCATAAGGAGCATGCAACCAGGATCCCTCGCAGGCACATTTCACATTAGGGTTCCTGCTCCTCTGAGAATCAAATGCTCCTGCTGATCTGACAGAAGGTGGAGCTTAGGTGGTAACGTGAATGGTGGGGAGCTGCTGTAAATACAAATGAAGCTTCACCCACCACTCACCTCCTGCTGTGCAGCCCAGTTCCTAATAGGACATGGACCAGTACAAGTTCATGGCCCCGGGGGTTGGGGACCCCTGGTTTAATGAACACATATATATAGAGAGAGAGACAGAGAAAGTACTAATGTAACTGCTGTTAGCAGTAACACTGAAAGTTCAGTGAAGCCTGATAAAGAGGTTATAGGAGAAGGCTGAAGCTTGAACTGACTTTTCAAGCATGAAGGACATTTACAGAGGAAGGAAGAGTATTCCAGGAAAGAAGACCCTAGACAAAACCTCAGAGGACTCACTAGGTAAAGGCATGGAAAGTTTTAGATTTTATTCCCTAGGTGGTGAAAAGGCTTTGGAGGTTTTTGAGCAGAGGAGTGATGTGATAAAAACTAGCCTTTAAGAGATCACCATGTAGAATGAGCAGAAAGAGGAGCAGGTTGAAGGCCTATCGGAGAAGCCACCACCGAGGCCAGCTCCAGGCCACATACTCCAAAGTCAGATCAGTTAAATGGACTGATCTGAGCCAGGGAGACCATTGAAGAGGCTTCTCCAGTCATTGAAATATGAGCTAACAAGCATCTGACTGATATCAGTGGGAAGAAAGAGAGCAGACCAGTGGAGATGACACTGGAAAAAGAAGAGTCAACAGAATTTTTTTTTTTTTTTTTTTGAGACAGTCTCACTCTGTTGCCCAGGCTAGAGTGCAGTGATGCAATCTCAGCTCACTGCAACCTCTGCCTCCCGGGTTCAAGCAATTCTCCTGCCTCAGCCTTCCAAGTAGCTGGGACTACAGGCACCCACCACCATGCCCGGCTAATTTTTTTTGTATTTTTAGTAGAGATGGGGTTTTATCACATTAGCCAGGCTAGTCTTGAACTCCTGAATTTGTGATCAGCCTGCCTCAACCTCCCAAAGTGCTGGGATTGCAGGCATGAGCCACCATGCCAGGCCAGAATTTCTTAACTAATGATACCCTCTGATTTATCTAGTTTTCTAATTAATGGAGGCAAACTTGAGTTTCATCTGTGAGCCCAGGAGTTCAGGTGGCCTGGTATCCACAGGATTCTTTACATATAAGAAACCAAAGATATCTCAACTGGCCCCATCTCTCTGGCTTCCCTGGTCCTTTCCTGATAGAGTACACTCTATTATCTGTATGCCTGACCCCTATACAGCTAGGATCAAATGAATAAAAATACACAAAAAGCTAATATCCTTACTATGTAGTACGTGGTAACCTCTTAAACATGATAAAACAAGACAGAGAAGTCTGTGGACTGTAAATCTAGTACTATCCTTTTGGGCTTAAACTCAATTAGACTTGCTTAATTTTTATAAGTGAGCAATCAGTCATAATGAATCTGCTTCACCACGAGGTAGCTACATTAACCCTGTTCTGTTACTAATTGCTCTGAAGACATCTGGGCCATGTCAGAAGGAATTAATAAACTAAGAATTCTAGTACTTTAAATTGAGGCTCATGAGTTTTCATCTGTTCTCAGTGTCTGCTGCTCTGCTTACATGTTTGAAAGGAAACACAGGACAGTTGAAAGACACCAAGCGTGATTAATGGGAAGTGACAGTGGTTAATGGGCTGGTAGAATGCTGGAGGAAACGTGAGCCTGAATTGGAGTTACTTCCAAGTTCATGGTCAGGGAAAGTCATGCAGAAATACCTCTACTTGGGCATTTGCTTCCATTTTTTCAGGAAAACATAATTAATTTGGAGAGCATTTGCCTTACAAATTTTTTCTGTTCATCAGCCAGGCGGAGAAAAGTTCTCTCACTCTCCCTGTCTGTCTTGCTGCTTTTCTTGTTAACATCTCCTTCCATCTAACCTCCTCCCCAGCATCAGCCATTCAGTGGCATGTGATACAGGGCCAGGAATTGTTGGACATCAGTTTCCTTTGCTTCCAGAAGTACAGTGTCCGACAGAGCTTGTTGTGTAATGAATGTGATCTGAAGTGAAATGCATCCTTCTTAGAATCCTTGGAGTGATAGATGACCCCGAAAGGATAATGAAGGCAAAAGCCACTGTCTCCTACCTCTCCAAGTCGTCATCAATCACTTCTCATGGCATCTGTCTACAGAAGTCAGATGTTCAACACTGCATGAATAACCTATGTCTTCTGCATAAGGTACCTGTGGCAGGTGCCCCCAACGTGCCAGTTGAATGAGGGATAATCAGTGTAGCTGGACTTAACAGTTAGATGTTCACACTTGGGTAATGATAATTGCAGTTAGCCTTTGTTGAGAACTTTACCACATACCCTTTGATACTCTTATCATTATTACCTCTTTTTCAAAGATGAATATGAAATTTGGAGAAATTAAAGGATTTGGTCATAGTTACTTAACTAGTAAGTAACAGATAAGAAGAAACCTATTTTCTTTGACTCCAGAATCCTCATTTATAAGCATTCGTTTATACCATCTCCACAAAGATTCCCTTTTTTTTGAGACAGGGTCTCACCATGTCTTCCAGGTTAGAGTACATTGGTGCAATCACAGCTCACTGCAGCCTCCACCTCCCAAGTGCAAGTGATCCTCCCACCTCA